GCTCGGTGAGCAGAGCTCTGAGGGCACAGAGGAGTTCTTTTTGCTGTGGGAATTTTGTCCCGGCCCTGCCACTCTCCCCGCATTCCTGGAAAGCCTTGAATAATCAAATGGGTCATTTCTGCTCGGCTGCTGTAATTTATTGTCCCACCGAATCCAGATCTTCTGAATGCTAATGGAAAAAAACCCCATCAGCCGGGCTGGTGCCATTCTGCTTTATGACCTTATTAAATTTACACTTTCCTATCATGTGCTGACAATTACTGGAGGACAGGCCAGGGCTCCTGCCACCAGCACTCAGCACTGTCAGCGCCAGGCGCGGGAGATTTACACCCCTGAGCGATCCTGAGAGACATTTTCACACTGCTGACAGGATGATATAACAAGGGAAAAGGCCATTAACAAATAAAGGAAGGAGCGGCAGGGAGAGGGCAGCTGGAGAATGGGGCGGTAAATCCCGGCGCTGGCAGCCGCTGATAAAATCACCTGGTGGGATGAGGGAGTGGGATGATGGAATGGGGTGATGGAGTGGGATGATGGGGTGGGATGACGGAATGGGATGGTGGAGTGGGATGATGGAGTGGGGTGATGGAATGGGATGGTGGAATGGGATGGTGGAATGGGATGGTGGAATGGGATGGTGGAATGGGATGGTGGAATGGGATGCTTGCACTGCTGAGGGGCAGGGCTGGCACCCCGCATGGCCCGGGGGTCCAGCTGGGTGGAGGGCATGGCCCAGCCCTGCCTGGGGTGTCTGTGTGCCTGGGATATCCCTGCAATGTGGGGTGCAATGTCCTGGGATGTCCCTGAATGTGGGCACAGCGAGCCCTGACTGAGGATGTCTGTGTGCCTGGAATGTGCTTTCAATGTCCCTGGGATGTCCTGGGAAGTCCCTGAGTGCTGCAGGCACGGCTCGATGCTGCCTGGGGTGTCCGTGTGCCTGGGATGCCGCTGGGGTGTCCCTGGAGTGTCCCTGGGATGTTCTGGGATGTACTGGGATGTCCCTGAGTGCTGCAGGCACGGCCCGGCCCTGGCTGGGGATGTTTGTGTGCATGGGATGTCCCTGGGATGTCCCTGGGATGTCCCCAAATGTGGGCGCAGCTCGGCCATGGCTGGGGATGTCTGTGCCCTGGGATGTCCCTGGAATGTCCCGGAATGTTCCTGGAATGTCCCTGGGATGTCCCCGGATGTCCCCAAGCCCGGCACTGCCAGGCCTGACTGGGGATGTCCCTGGTATGTCCCTGCAATGTCCTGGAATGTCCTTGGAATGTCACGGAATGTCCTTGGAATGTCCCGGGATGTCCCTGGAATGTCCTGGGATATCCCGGGATGTCCCCAAGCCCGGCACTGCCACCCCTGTCCCTCCACCGCCAATATTTGGTTTTTTCACACTCCCTCAAAGCCGGGGCTCCTTTTCCCCGCCGTGGGAGTCTCACGGCTCCATCCCTGGTTTTGGGCTGCTCTCAAACCTTCTCCCGAATTCTGCAGGAAAATCCCGCTGGGAGCTCCGAGCTCAGCCCAGCCGGTCCCTCCACAGATCCCAGATTAGACTCGGGATTTTGGAACCCACCTCCCTTAGCAGCTGCTTCAAAGCTGGGCTTGAACTCTGAGTGCATTTTTAAGAGCTTGTGATTTATTTGGTTGTTTTTCTAAAGCTTTCTGTTGGATTTTGGGACTTGACCATGAGTTAAAGTTTCAATCTCTTGGTATTTAGTGAATAAAAGGGGGAAAAAAGAGGGAAAAAACAACCCAGCTGTCATGGTTTGACACTGGCACAATGCCAGTGCCCCCATGAAAATGCAGTCTCTCAATTGAGTGCTGTGAAATGCAATCAAAAACAGAGCAAAGCAGGCCCAAGCTTAATAACAAGAAAAAACTTCATTAAGCTACTACTACTATACTACTATAAAAGGAAAAAGAAAGGAAAAAAACACACACACAAAAATCAAAATGAAAACCTTCCAAAGCATTCCTCCTCCCACCACCCACCTCCAACAAACCACAGTGAGACGCAACCTTGACCCCAATCAGGTTCCCACCCTCCAGATAATCAATACTCAGTCCATCAAGGGAGAGAGGAGCCTCTCCTGTGCCACAGACCCCGCAGGAAACACAGCTGCCACATCCTGTGCTTCCATGTCACACATGGCACCGCCTGGAGAAAAAGTTTGCCATGGTGACCCTCTCCTTTCCATGCACAGTGCTCTCACCACCAATGCATGGATGGACAGACTGCTTTTAGGATTTTTCCTTTCAAGGATGCCCTGCCAAGAGGGGAAAAAACAACAGTTCAGTTTTTCATTTTTGGGACCAACAGTCCCCCCCATTTTCCCCTGGGGCTGAGGATCCACGAACAGAGATCTTCTTCTCTTCTTCCTCTGCGAAGACAGGGGGCACCACCACAAACCTCCCTGACTTTTCTCTGTTTGCTCCACTTCTGTCTTTTCCCAGCTGCAGCAGGTCTCTTTGGCTCACCAGCATCCTCCTAAAATACAGCCTCTCTTGGAGGAGAAAATCAGTTCAGTCTGTGGCTACCAAGAAAAAGTCCAGCCAAAAGCCACTCCATCATCTCCTCCCACCTAGAATTTCTCCTAACATCCCAGGGTCCAAGCTGTCTCTCTTCCTCTTTTTTTTTAACCCCTCTGTGTTCTCAGAGGCATGTCCACCTTCAATTGCTCAATGTCCAAATTGACCTCTTCCTTCCGGAAAAATTCTTTTTCTGTGTCAAACAACGACACCAGCAAAACAAAATAAGGGAAAAGAGCCTTGAAGTGGTGGTAAATATTGGAATAAAATAATAAATAAAAATAAATTTATAAATAAATAAAATATGAAATAGCAAAATATAATATAATTGAATAAAATAATAAATACAATAATAAATAATAAAACCAATGCGGTATCATAAAAATATAATAAATTTAATAATAAATGAATAAAATAATAAAATATAAATATATAATAAATAATAAACACAATAATAAATAAATAAAATCCAACCAATATCTCAGGAGTAGAAGAGGAAAAAAGAAAGGACAAAAAAGCAAAACATTCTAGCTTGATGCTCAGGCTCATTTAAGAGATGTCAGTTCAATTATTGCTGATGAATTTAGGCTTGAAGTGGACAAATTTTAATTTATACTTCATTATGTGCAGCCTTTCAGAGTTGTTTGAAAAGTGAGTCCTTTTTATAAAAATAAAAAAGAAAATTAAAGATATATAATAAATAATAAATAATAAATTAAAAATATATAATAATATAATAAAATGATAAAAAATGAAATAATAAAATATTGAATCCCTAGAATGCTGAAGAACAGGTGGGGTTTGGGGCTTCCCTGCTGTTGGAAATGTCCCCTGGGGTTTTTGTGCTTCCAGGACCCAAACCTAGCCCTTCAGGAGCTCCTTGAGCTTCTGGTGATGGTGCTAGGGCTTTGTCCCTCCCGCCGTCCCTGTGAGGTGCAGGAGGGGTTGGGGAGCCTTTCACCACTGCTCTTGGGAGGGTGGAATAATAAATGGAATGATTCACAGAATCACAGAATCACAGAATAATGAGGTTGGAAGAGATCTCTAAGATCATCAAGTCCAACCCATGCCCTAACACCACAACCAGACTGTAGCACCAAGTGCCACGTCCAGTCTTTTATTAAACACATCCAGGCATGGTGATTCTACCACCTCCCTGGGAATTTTATTCCAGAATTTTATTATTCTTTCAGTGAAAAATTCTTTCCTAATACCCAACCTGAACCTTCCCTGACGTAGCTGAGGCTGTGTCCTTTGGTTCTGCCAGTTGCTGCCTGGTGGGAGAGACCGACCCCAGCTGTCTACAATCTCCCCTCAGGGAGTTGTGGAGAGCAATGAGGTCACCTCTGAGCCTCCTCTTCTCCAGGCTGAACAACCCCAGCTCCTCCCAACCTTCTTGCAGGGCTTTTTTGGGTCCAGGACACCCCTCTGGCTGTCCTGGCTGGCTCCAGACCCTGGCAGGGGGCTCAGAGACCCTGGCAAGAAGTCAAAAACACCCGTGGCTTCGATTTTAGCCTGTGGCAAGCTGCCAGCTCTGTATGAGGAATTACAAGCCACAAAGGTTTGAGTAGTGGGATGTTTGAACTAACACCCGGTGGAAAAGTAAAATTTTGGGGTTTTTTAGAATGCAATTCGGGGGTACAAGATGGAGGAATCTGGGCATGTCCTGGCCTTTTTGTCCTTCTTCTTGTCCTCCAAGTCTTGTTGTGATGGTGGCACTCTTCTATTGGTTTAAAGTAGAGATTCACAGTCTAACACAGATCTTAGGGATTGGCACAGAACTGTAAACATGGCACACGTAGCGTTGAGTAGATAATGTGGGAGCTGCCCAGGACTCAAGGCAAGACTGCCATGGCTTCTGTATGAGGCAGACCACAGCGGGTCAGAGAGAAAATATTATAGATAAGAGAAGAAATAAACAACCTTGAAAGCACAATCGGAAACATTCCAGACTCCTTCAGCTGCGTCCGGGCTAGGGGAGCAAAAACTCTTTATGATCTCTCGCGGTCACCCTGACCTAGGAACCCCAAGAGAGAGAAATCCACAGGGTTTGTGTTCCCAGCCCCTCTCCAGCCTCGTGGCCTCCTCTGGACGCGCTCGAGTGTCTCAATGTCTTTCCCAAACGGAGGGGCTGTTCAAATCTGAACACAGATTTGATTCATTATTGGAGTTACCAATATTGAGAATGGGCCGTGCCCTGGCTTGTCTGGCCCTGCTGCTGAACCCAATGGTGGCCACGGTGGTGTTTCACCCCAGAGCCACCTTTGGCCAGCTGGATGGTGCAGCTGGGCACGTGGGGACAAGTCCAGGGAAGCTGGAGCTCAGGTTCGGGGGTAAACCATGAAGGCACACCGCAAAAATTAATAAATAATTAATTGGACGACTAAAACCAAAAAGCCGCCCCCAAAACTCCATGTGAGTCGCCCTTCCCCGTGCCTGGCCTGACCCCGGCAGTGAAAGGACAGCAGGCTCAAGGGTCAGTAAAAGACTCTTTATTCATAAATAGCTGATATCCATCATTCCCACCTGTACACCTCTCGCCAACGGGGCCGCACAGCTCTGCAACTCGACAGAAAACACCCAAAGGGTCCACTTTGACTTCTCCAGGACAACAGAACACAGCTGGTTGGCATTACCAAATATATATATATGTATAGCTATTTATATATGTACATGTGCTGAAAAAAGAAGCCAGTGCAGCCTTTTCCAAGGAGTCTTTCCCAAGTATTTTCACTGTACAACATTCAGAATTTACATTGATAGAACAAGGCACAGAAAGTGTGGTATGAAGCCAAGGCCATGCTTTTGATCCCATGTTCTGTCTCCCTTCCCCCCTGCTTCAGCTTCATCCTACGAAGGGTTTGGAGCTCTGCCCTCCTTCACCCCAAACACGCCGAGCCCGGGCAGGGGGGGATGCTCGGGCAGAGACCTTTTCACAACCTATTCATTGCACAAATAAAGGAGCAGAAGAGAAAACAGCTCTCTCTAGAGGAATACTTGTGGGTTTGGGGTTTTTTTTTCTCTTTTTAGGAGTTATTTCTATTTTGTGTTGAACTGCATTGAAGTTCCTCCTCCCATTTTCACCTAAGAGCTGGTCCAATGTTGTGGGAGTTGAAAATGCAATGCAAATTTTGTTATCTCTTGTCTGACACGGCTCAGAGTCTCACCAGACTGACCAGCACCACGTTTTATCTTCTCCAAATGGACAGAAGGAGAACACTTCACATTTTTGTAGCTTTTATCCGCTGGGACGGAGCCACAGCGGGACGGGGAGGTGGATGGGATGGAGTTTGCTGTTCCCAAAGCTGAGTCTGTGAGCCAGGTTTGTGTGTGCCCTGCCCAGCTGGGACAGGCACTCCGGAGCCCTGGGGGGACCGGGGTTGGGGCTGAGAGGGGAAAGGATGGAAAAATCACAGCTTCACCTAAAAATGTGGGGCTGGGCTTTGGGGTTTCCTCCTTCCCCCTCCAGTGCCCAGACAAGGGACACCTGAAGGAATTCCTTGAGGAGTTATCCCAGCCATGGGTCAATATTCCCAATTCCAGCACAGGGCTGGCAGGGGCTGGATGTTCCACTCTGCCAGGGCCAAGGGAGGAACCCCCAAATGTTCCCCTCCTGCCCTGCCAGGCTGGGTGCAGGGCACCCCAAACTTCACCAATTCCACCCAAATCCTGGGGCTGGGCAGGGAGGTCTGTGCACGCCCCAGCCCCTGCTGGAGCTGGAACAGTGTCCAGGGAGGAATTTCACCAAAGCTCATGCCAGGAGTGAGCCACCCCTGGGAAACCATGGGCAGGCTCTGGGTGAAGGATGTTCGCCCTCTCCTGCTGTGCCACAGGTGAGAGAGAACCCTGGGGGCATCAGCCAAGGAAAGGCCAGAGACGCAGCCCTGGAGATCCTCCACGGTTGTCAAGGACTTCAAATCTCATTTTCCTCTCAGTTAATTACCAGCCAAGAACAAACACAGCTCTTTGCTGCAATCTGTGTTTTACAGGCAGAAACAGCCTGAAAAATGAAGATTCAGGTGGTGACCAGAAGCCCAGCCTGGTCCCTCCCTTGTTAAACTTCCCGTGGACCTGAGCTGTGTCTCCCTTTTGTGGAAAATTGGAATTGATCAGTTATTGAATGCTTTAAAACTCACACAGCACTGCCTTGCAGGTGGAAAAGAAGAATGGAGTTGCAGTGTGATGTGAATATCCTGGGCCCTGCAGGATCCCTTTCTGGTTATTTATGCTGAATAAGATTCTCTGAAAGCAGCAGAGCCCAGGCCAGAGAGGGGGAGAGCAGCTGTGGCCAGAGATAAAAACAATGACAAAAGCAGTTTGCTGGATTGTAAGAGAATTGTGTTGATATCTCTTCATCTATTACAAAAATCCCAATAAAATTTCTGTGGGAGTGCAGGGCGGTACGAAATGGAAATGAGCTTTATGGTGCTGGCGGAGCTGGGAGTCATTTTTAAAATGCAGCCATTAGTCTGCAATGAGTCATGGCACAGAAATACCTGGGCAAAGTGCTCAGGAAGATGAAAATCTATTAAAGCAGATTCTTTGGTGATGTAAAATCAGAATGGCTCTTTCCCCTGAATGGAGCCAGGGCAGCCATGTGGAATCTGCAGAGGCAAAATTCACATTTCTCTTTCTTTTGCTTTCTACCTCGGGAAAATTGTTTTTCAATTATCATAATTTATACAACAGAAGAAAGGAATGAATTTTTAATTTCTGGCCTCTAATCTTTTTCCAGGTGCTCCTCCACATCTGTGTTTTGGGTCAAACCATATGAATACGTGCACAGATTTCCAAAAGGTCTTTTTAGGAGAAAGAAAGAAAGGAAATAAATATTTGTGGCATTTCTGGTTCATTTGAAGAACACAAGAGCATCAAAGCAGTCAGGAATAGGAAGGAAAACTCGAGGGTTGTTGATTCAGGTTCCCAAAGAGTGAGATCAGCTGCAAAGCAACCTGCTTTGGGCAAAGGGAAGAAAAACCAGGGAAAAAACCGAAAGGGCAACATCCAACTGAGCTGTGCCCCAGGCACGGGGAACAGCTTCCCTCTGGAATTGCCCACTTTGGACATTTATCCCCTTCCACAACATGACATCCATGGGGTTGTGGGTGGATCGGGGAGTCTGGGGCAGGCTGGGGTCCCTCTGAGCGGGGTGTGCTGCCCTGGGAGGCTCTGCAGAGCTGCCAGGTCCGGACAGAACCCGGCTGTGCCCCGAGGAGGGGCAGCAGGGGCAGAGCCCAGCAGCTCCTGCGGCTCCTCTAGGGCGTGGGGGCAGCTCCCGGGGGCTGGGACAGCAGAGAGGAGCAAGCAGCTCCCAGAAATGCCCTGAAATTCCCAGGAATGTCCTGCAGCTCCTGGAATGCTCTGCAGCTCCTGGAATGCCCTGCAGCTCCTGGAATGTCCTGCAGCTCCTGGAATGCCCTGCAGAACTTGGAATGTCCAGCAGCTCCCAGGAATGCCCTGCAGATCCAGGAATGCCCTGCAGCTCCTGGAATGCCCTGCAGAACTTGGAATGTCCAGCAGCTCCCAGGAATGCCCTGCAGATCCAGGAATGCCCTGAAGCACCTGAACACCCTGCAGCTCCCGGGAGTGCCCTGCAGCTCCAGGAGGGCCCTGCAGCTCTGGGAATGCCCTGCAGCTCCAGGAGTGCCCTGCAACTCCAGGAATGCCCTGCAGAACTTGGAATGTCCAGCAGCTCCCAGGAATGCCCTGCAGCTCCAGGAATGCCCTGCAGCTCCCAGGAATGCCCTGCAGCTTCCAGGAGTGCCCTGCAGCTCCGGGAGTGCCCTGCAGCTCCAGGAGTGCCCTGCAGCTCCAGGAGTGCCCTGCAGCTCCAGGAATGCCCTGCAGCTCTGGGAATGCCCTGCAGCTCCCAGGAATGCCCTGCAGCTCCAGGAGGGCCCTGCAGCACCAGGAATGCCCTGGAGCTCCCCGGGCACACAAATCCAGCCTGCCCGGGGCAGAGCTGCTTGGGCACTGGAAGGAGCTCCTGCTGCAGGCAGAACGGGCTGGTTTCCCCGACAGCAGCAGCTCGCAGCGCTCCTTCCCTGGGCGCCTCTCCTGTTTTGTTTTTCTGATGCCTGACATTTTGTCCGGCGAAGAACAGGTTTGTGAGGAGGAGGACTGGCAGTCACTGAGACAGAGCTGGGGGAGCGTGTGCTGCTGAAAGCAGTGACAGCTTGCAGCCGGTATTTCTGTCTGCCCCTAAACCTGCGCCAGGAGCCTCTGCCGGGCTGCGGGAGGTGCTGAGCTGCAGGGAAGGTTTGCATGGATCTCAGGATTCCCAGGATTTCCAAGTCTCCACCTATTCCTGAGCCAGACAGGCAGCAACATTGGTGATTTCAGAGCAGCAGGAGCAAGGACAGAGCTGGTGTTGCTGTTGTTGATCTCATTGTTGTTCAGATTTTCACAGTCCTGAGTGAAGGAGTTACAGGCTGGACCTGCCCTGGGGGCTGTCGTGCTGCTCTCAGCCAAACACAAGGCTAAAACAGCCCCCAAGTCTTTGGTTTGGGGTTCCTGCATTTCCACAAAGCTCCCAAAGCCTCATTTCTGTTCCTGTTTCTCCTGACTGTGCCCTGGCAGCCCCATGGGCTGAGGAGCACTCGGCTATGGTGAAGGATGGGAGTGAAAAGAATGGTCAAAATAACGGTGACATTTGGCTCAGTACCAGCTCCACCAGGCCCTTGCTCACTCTTTTCTGTTGGGTTGAAGTCATAAATCATATTTGTATGGAATGGGTAAAAATCGAGGCGAATTCTCCAGTTAGATTCTGATTTTGGGGGTAAATGCAATTTGTAACTAAACCAAGGTAACACAGCCAGCTCTGCACCCCGTGAAATTCCCAAATTGTGCAACGAAATCAAGGCCAGTGCTGGCAGTGCCGTGTAGGGTTTGTGGTCTCAGTCTGAAACCAGACCAAACCAAAATGAAGCTGTGCTGGTTGCCTTCACCTTCAGCTCAGCCACAGAGCATGAAGTAATAAAAATGAATAAAAATGAATGTCTCAACGTGCTAAAATAGGGCTGGAAATTTCCCCTGTGTTATTTGGTTATTTAAATCCACCCCCAAAGACAGTTTTTTGACTAAGAAAGTTTGCAGACGTAGAAAATTAGAAAATTCCTCTGGCGTGTGCACACCCCCCAGTCTCAGAGAGAAGGGGTTTGTTCTGGAATTTTGGTAACAGAGCAGGCAGCAAAGCTCTGCAGCAAACATACATTCATTAAGGGGCTGAATTTTTAAAACAAATTATTTGGAATACACATGATATGAAATAATGATGAAATCTTCTAATTCCTCAAACATCTGAACAGGATAAGGCCAAATTTTCAGTTTTCCTGTAGCAGACATAAAGTGACAACGTGATGGGATTTTAAACCACTCTCGAAGCGAGAAACCTTTTAACCAGGACCAACCTCCAGTGGCTCGAAATATCCAACATTATTTGTTGATTTTCACTAGGCAGTACACGAACATGACTGTTCCTAAATACAGAATAACATTTACCTCTTATGGCTCTGTGTCCCTCTCCCTCCTGCCCCGGCACTGACACAAGTGCAGGTTTGTTTGGGGCACCAAAAGACGGATTTTAAGTGGAGGAGGGCAGGGAGAAGCTCGTTTTCCTCATCACCAGAGGGGTTTTTAGCAGGGCTGGTTCTGCTCCTCCCGCTGCTCTGCTGTGGGGTGGGTTCCATCCCCACAAACCCTCCTGTCCCCCGGCCCGGGCTCAGGGCTGGGCTGTCCCGGCGGGGCAGGGGGGCTAAAGGCCCTTCCTGCTGCAGGGGAACTCGGGCTCCTCCAGCTCGGGCTCTGCCCCCTCGGAGAGCTTGGAGTGTGTCCTGCCAATCTCCTCCAGAGCACAGGCCAGCGAGTCCAGGTCCCCGTCGTGCTGGTGCCGAGCCTCCCACAGGTCCAGGATGACGGCGGAGGGGCTGCTCTGGGTGGCGAAGAAGGAGAGGTTCCTGCAGGGAAAGGAAGGAAAAGGGTGACAAAGGAGGAGAGATTCCTGCAGGGAAAGGAGGAAAAAGGGTGAGGAAGAATGAGAGATTCCTGCAGGGAAAGGAGGGAAAAGGGTGAGGAAGGAGGAGAGATTCCTGCAGGGAAAGGAGGGAAAAGGGTGAGGAAGGAGGAGAGATTCCTGCAGGGAAAGGAGGAAAAAGGGTGAGGAAGAATGAAAGATTCCTGCAGGGAAAGGAGGAAAAAGGGTGAGGAAGGAGGGGAGATTCTTGCAGGGAAAGGAGGAAAAAGGGGATAGAAGCAGCCTGGGCTGCAGCTGTGCCCTGTGCCCAGCATGATCCACAAGGCTGGAAAATAAAACCCCTCCAGCAGGGCTGGGGGATGAGCTGAGCAGCCCCGGGGGCTGGTGGCTCCTCACGTGGCACCTGCCCAGCCTGGCACAGGGACTGTGACCTCCAGCCCAGCGTGTCCCCAGGCCCAGCAGTGCTGCCCCTGGCATGGGCAAACAAATCCCCCCTGGGAAGCATCACTAGGAAATGCAGCAAGGACTTGACAGGGAGAGGAATTTCCAGCAGCTGATGCTTGTGGTTGAACAAAGACACAACACCTTTTATCTGAGCCTTTTGTTTTGTTATTTTGTGCCGTTTTAGGACTCTGCAGGGGTGATTTGTACAGAATTTGGTTAAACAAAGTGTTTATCCAAAACTCTTTTTCCTTTGGTTCAGATGTGGTTTATTGAGGCTCCCACGCAAAGCAGGGAGCCAATGGAAAGTTACTTTGCTTGATTTAAGTATTCCTCTGTTCTCCTGGGAATGCATTTATAGAGTTTGTGACAATCAGAAAATATTTTTGTGAGGAAGCTGCCTCCGCCAATTTAATTTAGCCAAGCAGAAAAAGCAAAGTAAGAAGTAAATTGGTTTTTACAGCATCTTTCAGTTTTAATAATCATAATATTATTACTCCTAACAGTAGAGCATGACTGTCTCTTTTAAAGATGTCTTTCCCTTAAACAAAAAAAAATCTGCAGGATTCATTTTGGAAAAGGAAATGCACCCATGAGAGCCAAGGGGATTTGTCTGGGGGAATGTGCAGCCTCCAAAGGGCTTTGAACAACTGTTCAGTGATGGACAAAATCCTCCTGTGGGTGGACACAAGGACAGGGAGCTGAAACGAGGAGTGAGCCCCACTCAGCCCCTAATTCCCACCCACACCCCTGGCTCCACAGCAAACCAACAACCCCTGAACGGCCAAAAATGCCCGTTCCAGGTGGCAAAGCCCGGCCAGGGTGCTGCCATCACCTGCTGATGCTGTTCTTCTGGGCCAGCATCTGCCAGTCCTTGCCCTTGGCGCTGGGCGCGTCGAAGGTGGCGCAGATGCGCTGCCGGATGGAGCGCGGGATCTTGAAGGCCTTGGGGCCCAGCTGGGCGGGGAAGGCGCTGTCCTCGTGGCCAAAGAAGGTGATGTTTTCTCTCTCAGTCTGCAGGGAAAGGAGAATCAAACCTCCTCAGATCGCTGCTGTCGCTTGAACTGACAACAGAAAATGGCTGAGCTGAGAGGTGCTTTTGCGAATTGTGAAAGAGCACCTGGAAGGTGTTCCTTCAACATCACAAGGACTTGTGCAGAAAAACCTTTAAAATGGTGGTTTTCCCTTCCACAAGTTTTATTTTTTGGGGATTTTTCTGTTACAGATCAGTGCTGGGTTTCTGAATCTTTAATTGTTCAAACCCGGAACATGGACACAGAAATCTGTGTTTGTTTCTCTCTCTGGGTTTTTTAAACACCTGAATTCCGTAAGCACCTCAGCTCTCCCAGCCTCTCTGGAATCCAGGTCCTTTGCGGATCTGGCCCCTCTTTTCCCGTGGAATCACACCAGCCTTGCATAACAGAGTCAAATTTCAGTGCATTACTCATCTGAGAGTGACACAGCATCAATATTAAGCAGCAGCAATGGTGCAGCCTCCATCCACCATTTGTGACAGGTCCCCAGGGCCAGCCAGGCTCAGCACCGGGGCTGCAGCTCTGCCCCGGGCTCTGCTCAAGATGCAGAGCAGGAGAAGCTCCTGCCCTGCACGTGTGAGATAAGCACAGCGACCCGGGCGCTGCGGGGATTGTCACGCACGGAGCGGCTCGGGGGGGAGTTGTCACTCACAGATTTATTTTGCAGTCAAATTATCCTCCCTCTTCAATCACTGCTGGAGATAGGCATGAGAAAGCCTTCCACAGCAGCAAATCTGCTTGAAGCAGAACGGGAACATGCTCTGGGGACTTGTGTACAGACAGGGCCCTTAAAAACCCAGCAGAGGGGGAGAACAAGGCAGCAGCAACACGGGCTGGAGACACAGAGAGTGACAGAGGGGTTTTATGAAATAACAGGAAAGGAGCAGAAAACACTGGCCAGTCCTGAGTAGTGTTTACACAGGATGCTGTTCGTGCTGCTCCTGTCCAGCTGCTGCAATCTCTGCTCAGAGCACTTAGGGGTGCAGAGCTCTCATCCAGAAGTATTAATCTGGATTAATCAACAAAGATGCTCAATAATCTAAAAAAGGCAGCTGCTGAAGTTCTCATGGCTGTGGGACACATCAGCAGCTTGCTCAACTGATTCCTTTTAGCCATTTAGTTTTTCTGATTTCTTTTAGCCACAAGCTAGAATTTCTGCTTTTAGGTCTGATTTCTTTTAGCCATGAGCAGGGCCCAGTCACTGTGAGACACCGTTTGTACCCTGTCCCCAAGCCTCAGTGCTCTGCAAGGGCTTCTTGCTAGGAAACTGCAGCCACCAACCCCAGCAATAAATTATGAAATTATCGATAAATTATTGTCAGTGCTGCAGAGTCTCTGTGCCCTGATTTCTGCTGGAAATGGGATCTGCAAGGCTTTAGAGACTGGCTCCAGCTTTGAGCAAAACCTACAGGGAGAAAGGACAAAACTGGGGAGGGAAGCGGCACGCAGAGAGGAGGTGCCCCATGCCTGGAAGGGTCCAAGGGGTGAGATGGTGCAAGGTGGCCCTGCCCACGGCAGGGGTGGGACTGGATGGGCTTTAAGGTCCTGCCAAGCCAACCGAACTCAACCCAACCCAACCCAACCCAAATCAACGCAATTCAACCCAAGACAACCCAACTCAACTCAACTCAACTCAACTCAACTCAACTCAACTCAACTCAACTCAACCCAACTCAACCCAACCCACCCCACCCAGGATTCCGTTCCACGACCATCCCGCCCTGCAGACCAGGGGGTGCTGGTGGCTGTACCTCGAGGACAGAGGTCTGGACGTGCAGCAGCTGCTCGTGGCCCTGCAGCTGCCTGACGCACACGGTGCAGCACAGCTGGGTGGTGGCGGGGCTGAAGCGCTCCAGGGAGAAGGCGCCGAGCAGGGGCCGGGGGCTGCCGCGCCACACGCGGGAGAACGGCACCTCCTGTGGGATGGGGACACGTCAGGGACAGGGGACACGGCCGGGGGGGACACACCCACTCCTGCTCTGCTGGGGCGAGCACAGTAACTCCCCTCCAGCTCTGAGGAAAGCCAAAAAATGACAATTGCGTTGATGGATGCTGAGGTGTGGCAGTGACCGAGAGCTCAATGGAACAAGTAATGGGAGACTCTTAAAAAAGATATTTAAAGACACTTAAAAAAGGTGCGTTTCACTTCCTCCCCCTTGCCAGGATCAGTAGTCCTCTCTGAGTCTCCTTGAAATCACCTTGTAACCAGAATCCAAGGAAAGGAACTTCCCACTGAGAACTGCCCTGGCCCTGCCGCCCTTCCCTTCTCCTGCCCCAGCTCCCTGCCTGTCCCCAGCCCCAGGCTGGATCCCGAGCTGGGAGCAGCAGCAGTAGTAAGATGCTCACAGTGGTAAAGGAAACATTAGCAAAATGTTAGAAGTGGAGGAATTGTAATTAGATTTTTTCCAGGGTGATCATCTCTGCTTTCACTCGGAGTGGAAGAACCACTCAGCTGAAAGGAGTTGTGTGAAACAAAGCAGAGCAGCGAGGAGTGCTGGAACAATGAGTGGCTGGAGTATTCCAGCGATGCTTTCAGCTCCACTCTGCGTTTATAATTAAGCTCCTTGCAGACAGAGGGGCTGTAAATCATCTCATGGCCCCAGGCAGAGCTGGATCCTCCAGGAGATGCAGGGTAGGAGGCAAATTTGAGCACCCAGAGGTGCCTGCCCATCCCGGCTCTGCCTGCACCACCCACAGCTCGTGGGGATCCCCGGCAGGAGGGGAGCCAAGCCTGGGCAGCTGCCCCTGCCAGGCCGGGACAAACACGGGCTCTGAGCAGGATCTGCAGGAATCCTGGTGCCACCTGCCATCAGCTGCCTTCCAGCAGCTTCTCAGTGTGATGGATTCATCTGCTCGGCCTTAGAGGAGAACCCTGCTTGTCTGAGACATCGTTTCCATAAATCCTTCCTCCCCCACTGCCCGGGGAGGCTCCGGTGCTGGACCAGAGACATTCCTGGAACAGGCTGCGCTCAGTTGTTCCTGCCAGGCAGCACAAGCAGCTGCTCGCACAGGGTGGGACGTAGGAGAGGAACCCAGGGAACACTGGAAGAAACTCCACGTGCAAAAATAGATTCTTTTCTCTATAAAGAGGCTGGAACCAAACCAGAGCTGTCACCAGACTCTTCACTGCGAGGGAAGCACAGAGCCAGGGGAGGTTCTGCAGCTCCTCTGAGGAGCAGTGATTGTGTTTCTGAGCTGCCCAAGCCATTCCAGTGACACCAGGTATAAAATGTAAATTTTCCTGTGGTCAGGGCAGCCCTGGGTCAGCCCATTCTGGCAGCAGAGGTTTGGCACAGGCTTTTTCCAGCCCTGAGCCCCTGCTCTGATCAGGCTCTAAGTGGCACTTGGAGGTTGAATTCCAGTCTGTCACAGACATTTATTCTTTCTGTTTGGATAAGGGATTAGGTGACAATAAATTAATCAAAGTATGGACCTCTCTAATCTGCTGAGAGCAGAAGTGAATTTGTTGCGTCTAGGGGAAACTCCTCTGATTTGATTTTCTTTTGGGCACACACGGGCAGGTCTCTGCTGGAGAACTGGGACATCCTAACCCTGCTTGGTTTGGCTTTCAAAACACAGGTGAGTGAGAAGAACAAACAAACCCTGAAAAGCTCTTCTCCCTAAGAAGCTGAAAAGGATTAATTTATTTCATTTCTTAAGTTGTAGCCCAAATTATCCCCACGTTGTTAACGAGGAGAGGCTTGCTCTGGCTCTGGGTCTGTGTTTATAACTCTCAGAGCCCATTACTCTCATGTTTTGGGGAACATGGCAACACATTTAAAACAGGGTTTTTGCCAAAATCCTGGAGGATGCATAACTGTGTCTCTGCTTCTGGGAGAAGGGAAATTGTACATTCTAATTGAGTGCTGCATTTTAAAACCAGCCCACTCCATGTGCCAGCACATTCCTTAGGACTTCCAGTCATCAAAATCCTTGGAAATTCTTCTTTTGTTTTGATTTTTCCTTTTCAGTTTTCAACAGCCTCTTTAATTAATGGAGAAGAGAAAAACCAATTTGCTGCTCTTCAGCTCTAATGCTTGCTCTCTGCGTGCTGTGATTTGAACTCATGGTTACACTTAAATGCCATTTTTAGCCATATTTCCATAGTTATATCAAAACTAAAATGACAGATATTAGAAACATCTTGAGGAGTGGTTAAGTTTGAGCAGGAATATTTGCCTTCTGTTGGAGGCAACTGAAAGGAGGGAAAGCAAAGCATTTCTGTAAAATGACAAATTTACAGCATTCTGGTGTAAACGAAATCTGTGGTTGTCGGAACCAAAAGGCAACATGTTTTTGTTAAATGCTCGGGAGGTTTAAAGCTTTTTAAACAAAAGGAACCTTGGTTCATTTGGGCTCTGCCCCCAGGGCAGAGGGAGGCAGGTGAAATGCAGGTACCTGGCAGGCAGTGAAGGGTTTGATTCTCCACAGGAAGGGAGGAACGTCCAGCACTGAGATCTGCAGGCTGCAGGTGTTGCCTTTAAAATGCAAAAGTTTGGGTTCCTCCAGCAATTGCCCCCCTTGGAGTCTTTCATCTGAAACCACTTCCTGCAAGGGAGGAGGAAAGAATATTTTCAGTATTAGGAACAAACCCCAAATCCAGTGAAAATCCCTCTCCATGGGGGTCCCGGGGTCCCCTGCAGTGTCGGATGCACAGTGGAGTTTCTCTCGTGGGCAGCTGATGGTATTTATAGATATAAATATTTGATATTGCTGTTTCCCAGGAGGCTGGGTTTGGACACTGCCAGCCCCATCTCTGGGCAGATAATGCTGCTGGACACTGAATTTTCGGCTGTCTCCCCTCTCCAACACCCCCAGTGCAGCCCAGCACTGCCCAAACTGGACCCAGTGCAGCCCAGCACAGCTGGACTCCAGAGCAGCTCTGCTGGGGAACTTCTCTCAGGGCTTTTCAGAGCCCTCAAACGCTTCAGGTGAAATCATTCACTTCATTTCCCACCTCTGGAGCACTTCCAGAATCACTGGACAAGACCCTGAGCAGTGTGAAGGGCAAAATCTGGGCAGGGGTTTGCACTACAGCCCTCCAGAGCTCTGTTCCAAGAGAAATTTTTATGTAATTTGGTGAATTTAAAACATAATGGCAAAAAAAAAATCACCCCTGCCGGTACTTAAGCAATGTTTATTTCTGTGCTGCCGCAGTAAAAACACCAGTGAGGGAGGAAAGGTTGCAGAAGTCTTTAAAAATCAGCAGGCAAGCAGTGCTGCCAAATTACCTTTCTCAATCCACATAAATTATATCAAATGTGTGTCCATAGAAGGAGTTTAGTGCTTGTCAGGACCAAAGTCATCGTTAGAGGAGCTCCTGGAATCACTGTGACCTTCTGAAAATTCAATGCTCAAGCTCTCTGAAACTGCACTAATGGATTTCTATTATAAACCTGTTTTTCCAGGCATTTGGGTTGGTTTAACCCCTGCTGGTTGGGTTCACCCGAAGGAAGAAACTGGGAGACTTCAGTTTTTGGCTTCCAGACACAAAGGGGTAAGATTATTTCTTAACCATCCTTAAAATTCCTGGAGTATCTTGGATATTTTTGAATGTTCTGTGAGTGCTGCTCTGCCTTCAGTGACAGACGTGGGACTTCTCCCACAGCAGCAGCATTTGGGCAAAACACCAGAAGGACCTGAGTCTATTCCATTTTGAGAGCCAGGAGTCTCCCAGCACACTCAGAACTTCACAAAGGCCCAAATCCACTCCTGGAGGAGCAAGGAGAGTTTTCAGCCAGGGAAAAAGTCAAAACCAAGAGAATTCTGTCTCTTACATAAACCCGCACTGTGCAGGATTAACTGTCAAACACCACTTGGCAAACCCAACTCTGATATTTTATCTAAAAACCTCTGTAATTAATCAAATTTTATCCAAAACCCTCTGTAATTCCCCATATTTTATCCAAAAACCTCTGTAATTCCCCATATTTAATCCAAATCCATTAATTCCCCCACTAATATTTCCTTGCTTTTAGGGCTGCATCACTCCATAAACGCAGGGTTGTCTCACTATCTCCACACACCCTGCTCTCACTCCTGGGAAGGCAGAGAACTGGTAATTATTCTTCTGATCATTTCCTCCAGACTCATCAGGAAGACACCGGTACCCACTAATTGCCTAAGTGTTATAAAGAGGATAATTACAGAGCCATTGTGAGCCTCTAACAATGCTTTTGGTGCCTTGGCTTTTATTAGAGGCACAGAGGCAGCTCCAGTCAGAGCCGTGTTTCCATTCCTGTGCCATGGCAAGGGGAAGGAAAAATTCACCTCACAACTGTTTGCATTTCGGTTCCCCAAAGAACAGCATTTTGTTAAAGCCCCTGAGTTTACCAACAGCCAGAGAATGTCATTGTTGTGTCCTGGAACACGGTGCAGGAAAATCATTCTCACCCCAACTGCCATGTGGGGATTGGGCTTTTTTTTGACTAAGAGGAAGTGCAGGATAATTGAATTTTTGTAAACCAGGGCTGGGTGAGTTTGGGTAGTTGAGAATGTGACAAAAAATGAGAGAGCAAACAAGAGAGTTTGGCTGCCCTAAAGCTCTCAGTGTAAATCCACAACTGCAGGGAATTGAAGGGATTTATTCTAACGGTGCAGCAGTGCTTCAAAAATCCAGTATTCTCACTGGGTTAAGGCTGGGGATGCCCAGGGAGTAAAAGGATGCCAGCATTTAATGGGAAAATAAAGCAAGCCCAGAGGAGCAAAGCGAAACCATTTACCTGGAATGCACAAGGGGTGTTATCCACACAATAAACCCTCAGATTGTAATCCAGAGAATTGCAAGACAGGCAGCCAAAAACGGCGACTTTCAGCTGTCGAACGGCGCAGTCTGAGATGGGTTCCCCAATTAGGGCATAAGTTCCAAAGCTGTTTAAGAGAATGTGACAGGCATAAGGATCCAACAGGCAGTAGCAAGAAGTAGTTTCCTCTTCCACAGACATCACTTCCTGCAAAACGAAATTCAGGTTTAAAAAGAATAAAGCGAAGTCGAATCAATAGGCCTCGACAATAGGAGTCATGGCATTAATACTTTATTTTTATTCACTGGAATGCAGGGTGTTTGCTGGGAGCCAGGCTTCACCCTCAGGAAAGGGGAGAAGGGGGACTGCTTCCCTGAGTAAATATTCCCAATTTAGCCCTGAGTCAGCAGGAGGATTTATGGCCATGCCCTGTGCCGAGCTCGCTGTGTACATACAATAATAATGATGATGCCTAAGCAATTTTAGCAGCTTTTTTCAAGTGCTCTTGACTTTCTGGCTAATTTTTCCCCCCAGTGTCAAGTTAAAAAATTACCTTGAAGGTTAAAGTCAATAAGCAAACCTTGAACAATGGCTGGGGTTTGACTTCCTTCCAGAACACCCATTACAGCCACATTTCCCTCCCTCAAAAACTCCCTCTGCTCTGCCTCTGCTGCTCAGTCCTGCCTGGTGTCCCCATGTCCTCTGTCCGTGTGTCCCTCTGTCCATCTGTCCCTGTGTCTGTGTGTCCCCACGCCCCTCTGTCCATCTGTCCCTGTGTCTGTGTGTCCCCATGTCCCTCTGGCCCCTCTGTCCCTCTGTCCCTGTGTCTGTGTGTCCCCATGTCCCTCTGTCTCTGTGTCCCTCTGTCCGTATGTCTATGTGTCCCCATGTCCCTCTGTCCATCTGTCTCTGTGTCTGTGTGTCCCCATGTCCCTCTGTCCATCTGTCCCTGTATCTGTGTGTCCCCATGTCCCTCTCTGTGCCCTGTGTCCTTCTGTTGATCTGTCCCTGTGTCTGTGTGTCCCCGTGCCCCTCTGTCCCTGTGTCTGTGTGTCCCCATGTCCCTCTGTCTCTGTGACCTCCTGTCCATCTGTCCCCGTGTCCCTCTGTCCCTCTCCCTGGCCCAGCCGTCTGAGGCCAGCCCTGCTGGAGCTGCCCAAGGACTGAGTAAATCTGGCTGAGGAAAATGGGAGTGGGAATGGATTAAAGCAGAGCAGAACCCAGGCAGGGGCTCAGAGGGACAGGACAGAAGGACAGGCGGCAGCCTTGGCGTCCTGGCTGGGCTTGGAGCCATGAACTGCATTGGTGAACCACCCAAATCCAATCCTGCTGCTTCTTCACAAAAGGCAAAATCTTTTGGCTGTGCTTGTTTCTCTCAGGTCCCTCTGCCTGTCCCTGCACGACCAGGGGCTAATTCCATGTCCATGGTGGCCAGGCTGGGGCTGGGCTTACCTCCCACTTGCCCTGCTGCGTCCTCCTCTTGAGGCGGATGCTCCAGTGCTGGGGGTCGGCGTGGGCGCAGTGCGGGATGCTCAGGGCGCACGGGGTGCTCACCGCCAGCTCGGGGGGCCCGCAGCTCACCTCGGGCCCCAGCAGCACCTCGGGGCCCTCCGGCTCCAGGCTTGGGGCAGCAAAGACAAGAGTGGCTGTCAGGAGTGAGAATTCACTGAAAATATTTCACTTCAAATCCAAGCACCTCCCTCATCTGCTCATTTCTGCTCCTTTCACGTGGAAGCAGCAGCTGGAGATGAAACAAACCCATTAGACCCCATCTAACTCCAATCAGTGCCTGGTCAGTTTAGGGCTCTGGTATTTAAAGCACATTTCAATTTGTTTAACCCAAATCCAGCTCTGAAATTGCTCTGTGCCAGCCAGCCCAGCTCCGAGCACCAGCTGGTCCCGTCCCCACCGTGCTCTGCCTTCAAACGCTGCCATCAACAATATTTTCACAGGAGCAAAGATAAAACAAATTATGGCTTAAAAAACACAGGCTCATAAATTCTTCTTGATTGAGTGTGATCTTCCTGCTTTGAAAACCCATTTATATTCTGCAGGAGGGAGGACTCAGTGACTTTTCCAGACCCAGGGTCAGGGCTGTGCTTGGAATTAGGGCTGGGCCAGGTGGAGCCGTGGCTGTGGCCCTGAGACAGGCAGGGGAGATCCCACCTGAGCTCCAGGGATTCACCTGGGCTCAGGTAATGGCTGCACCCTGTGTCTGCTGCCTTCCAGAGATGTGTGACCTGCTCCTCTCCTCTCCCACTCCAACAAATTGGACCCAACCCCCCCCACACACGTGTTTTTTGTGTCTCTTGGAATAAATCCCCGGGCAGGAGCGGTGCCAGAGTGAGGAGAATCCCTTGGACACTGAACCAGCAATTGAAACCTCTTGCCCTGGTGGTTTTTTTTGCTGTTTGGTTGTATTTTCATCCATTTGAGTGGTGTGATCCCCATGGTTGGATTCTAAATTACCGTTCCCTCTTCAAATTATAGCAAATGGTGTTTCCAGGGTAAAAGATAAGACGAGAAACCTCAACCAAGGCAAAAATTAGGGAAAGGACCCCAACCAAGATAAAAAATAGAAGATACAAGAATAAAACCAGGATATAAAAAGGGGAAAAGCCCAAGTGGGGTTGGGTACCCCATTCCAGTGTCTGTGCTGACACCCTGATGTGGAGCTGGTGATGTGGGTGTTCAGAAAATGCCCTTTGCAAACCCCATTCCTGCCCAAGAGAGGCTGGAATGTTCCAAGCCTCCCCTCAGCCTGTGTGTACAAGTGTTGCTGAGAGGGAGACTGCAGGGGAGGAAAAAAAGCCACAACAGGGTAACAAAAAAAGGCCAATTCCTTTTTTTCCTTTCTCAAGTGTCACAATAATAAATTCTGCTGAAGCCTCGGTGCTTCCAAGTGTCTGTAGGATTCTCAGGCTAAAAAAAAATCAAAGCTCCCCCAGAACCCGAGGTGCTGAGCTCCTCCTGAGCAGGGAGAGGAGCAGCAGGCACAGGAATTCCACAGGAGCAGCACTCCAAGGTCATTTTTGGGTCCCTCTCAGGGTGGTCACCCCAGCAGGGAGTGGCTCCCCATGTTCCACCCCAAAGCCACACACGGAGGCAGGTCCATGAGCCCGGATCTCTCACCTGGACTCCTTCTGGGTGATGGCCAGGTAGATTTCCCAGGAACTCTCCTCAGGAATAGCCCCGTGTGGAATCAACAGACTGACCCCTGGAAAAGAGCAAGGGCAGCACTGAGCCTTGGGATGTCAGGGATGTCAGGGGAAGGGAGCACCAGCCCCAAGGGAATGCTCCTCTGAGCTCCTGCTCCTCAGGGCAGCCTCATCAGAAGAAAGGAGCATCAGTTATCAAAGGAAATAAAGCTGTTGCTGTTCCATTAAAGGAAAAGACGTCTTATTTCCCAAAAAGCCTTTTGGAAGCTCTTTCCTTTTTGAAATCAGACCTGATCCTTGTGGGATCCAATGGAATCTCCCCATGGAGAGGGCGATCCCCTCTTTGTCCCCACACACCCAGCTCCTGCACCCATGTGATCCCATTCTCCTTCCACAGCACCAGAGTGGACCAGGAGTTAACAGGGGAGTTTCCCCTGGGAACCAGTGGAAAGAAACTGCTTTATCCCACTCTCAGGAGAGGGGGAATGTGTTTGGCTTTGATTCTGTCACACGGTGCAGAGCCTTGGTGAGGCACTGCCTCGATCACACTGGAATTCACAACTGCTTGGCACAGCTGATCTTACATAAAGGCAGCAAGAATTACATAAATTTCAAGTGGACCAAATACATATTTTAATAATCTAATTGATGGGACTATCATTACATAAAGTAGCTAAATATACAGTATGAGGGAATTCTTAATTCATGCCTTAACTCTGTGCCTCTGCAATGTTCCTTCCTCAGCACAAAACCAGTCTGTGGAGAAATGAAAACATTCCCCACGTTGTGCATGCCTGGCTTGTCACTGCTATCAATCCTCTCTAAACACAAACCACGTTTTTTATGGTAACCTTTAAAGCACCCGTTTTGTGGGACATGAAGGATAAAGCTCTAAATCATCCAGTTCAACCAGAGAGCAGCAGATAATCCTGGAGCCACCGCTCAAACGAAAGCAGAGCTGAACTGAAAGTGAATAAATATCACTGGAGTTGAAGGATGATAACACTCAGCTGGCAGTGGGGTATCTGGCTTTTTGTGCTTTTTGTGCTGCCTTTTGGGGAGAGAAAATACCCAGGGTGAGGGCAGGGATTTGGGGTGATGCAAACACAGCGCTGGGGTGCAGCTGCAGGGCTGCGACCCTGCCAGCCTCTGCTCTGCTGTTCAGCTCATTCCACAGACAGCCCTGCAGGTCCCCAACACGTCCCACAAAGGGACCTGAGGTCACAAACTCCTGACACAAACAGAGGGAGCAGCTCAGCCCGGGACAGGGCTGATGGGAAGGACCCCGCTGTGGGAATCTGGGAGCTTTTTGCTCCAAGAAAGGGGAAAACAGGCAGGCAGGAGGGGCAGGAGCCTGGTGGGGCAGCAGTGGGGCTGTCCCCAGGCCTGGCTGCTGTCCCTGTGTCCCCCAGTGGGGCGGGGGTGTGGGGCTGGGACGTGAGCCCCTCACATAAGATCCAGTATCGACCCTTCCTGAGGAGCCTCTGCTTTGGAGCAGGATCCAAGCAAGGCACAGCTTTGATTAATGTGACTTTCATGCTGAAGACATCAAGAGAGGCTGTAATTTAAAACAGTTCAAATAGGCATAATGCCTCTTCAGTCCTCAGCCCAGGCTTCCCTCTGATCACTCGTGTCCTGTGTGGGCAACGCGCCCTACTTCCAAAATCCGCATTAACGGCGCCCCTGCTTCTTCTTCCCTGGCAGTTTTTAAAGAATTCAGTAATAAAACACTACATCAGGCAGCCTAACCTCAAACTCCTCTACGTGCTTGGACGAGCAAGGAGCCGTCACCCACCTGTGTTGGGGACCACCAGGCGGCCCCCCAGGTGCCCGAAGAGGGCCGAGCTCCTGAGCTCGCTGCTGCTGGAGATGGAGGCCAGGTGCTGGATGAACATGGCCTTGTTCCTGGCCTGGAGGGTCCCGAAGGGCCGCGGGCTGCCGTGGGGGAAGGTGCCGGGGTGGGCCTTGCCATGGTACTCGGCCCTCTCGGTGACGCCCAGGGACACCATGAAGGAGCTCTGCACCTTGACCTTGATGTCGGCCAGGGGGTTGAAGAGCGAGGACTCGGTCATCAGCTCCTTGTCCAGGGGGTCCTGCAGGCAGATGGGGCCGCTGTAGGTCCTGCTGACCGTCAGCTCAGGCTGCAGGGACGAGTTCAGGAGCAGGGAGTTACCTGTGGGGACAGCAGCAGGGATGGAGGGGACACCTCAGCAGTGTCACCTCAGCAATCCTCCCCGTCCCCTCTGCCACCCTCCCCGAGCTCTCAGAGCCCCAGATCACACCGGGCCACGTCAGGGAGCCGAGGAACCGGTGCCAAGACCTGACACTTCATGTTCACCACGCCTCAGGCAGCGCCAGAGCGCAGGAACCTGAGGAAGAACCTGCTTTGTTTTGGATTCACGTTTTTGTGTTTGCCCTTTTCCCTCTCTTGTTGTTTTCTTTCCTTACATTAAACCCCACTGGGTGACAGCATCTTCCTGCAGACCTTTTACACAAACCCACAACTTCATGCCTGAGGGAAACTGGGCTGAAAGGGAGGTGGGACAGGAGTGATACACAGAAAGACATCACAGTTATTAATCTGGATGTGTTTTACCTCAGAAAACACTCTGAAAAATGAGGAGTGGATGGATTTAGGGCCTGGGTCCTCTGGTTGTTTGGTTTTGTGGTGGGGTCTTTTTCTTTGGTTGTTTAGTTGGGTATTTTCAGAGCATCCAGAATGAAAGGTTTTAAGCATTAAGCCAAGCAAACAATTCCCCAGACTCAAAACAAGATTCAAACTGAACCACAAAGGAAAATGTTCTTGTTTGAGACAGTCATTGAGATTTACACAGCCCTAATTAAAGGTTTGGATTTAGAAATGGATGAATGAACTTCCTTCAAACGTCCTTGTCTGCCAAGCCCTTTTGCCAATTTCTTGCAAGTCATGTTTGGTGACGAACGTCTCCAGGAAATAAAGAAACTGTAAAAACAACCCCACAACCCCCCCCCAAACAAACTCTGCAACATATTTCCCTTTTCTGAAGAGAGAACAGAGACATGGGGACACTTTCACACCGTGCCCACGCTCCCACCCACCCACAATCAGGCAGGTCTGAGGTAGAGTGGCAGCACAGAATCAATAAACATCCTGCTTTCATCCTCGTTTCTCTCCCTCCCCACCCTCCTGTTCACAGGGAACAACGTTCCTGAAAACCTGAGCCCTGCTTTTAGTAAAGGTTTTGTCCATGTTTTGTGGCACTGGTGGTTTTTCCTAAGGCTTTAGGGGTCCAGTCTTACACACATTGATTTCCCTCAGTGCCTGTGTTACAGCAGGTTACAAAACCCTTCCAGCTGGGGCTCTCAGATTGTCAGGAAAAGAATAATTCCTTTTATTGGAGTGGAAGAGAGCTCTGTAACTGAGAACAGGAGGAGCTCCAGCTGCGGGGCCTGGGCTTGCCATGATTTGGTTGCTTTGCTTCAATTTGAGCTTTTCCTACCTCAGTGTGGGATCTGGGGATTTTGGAATGGACATGGGGATTTTGGATGCTGGACAGCACTCCTGAAGCATCTGGAGCATGGCCAAGGAGGATCCTGTGTTTGTGGGACTGAGCAGAGCCAGTTCCAGGTCCCCGTCCCTGCCCTGGCTGCCCCAAACCCCCTCCCCAAAGGCAGGTGAGCCTGAGCAGCGGGAGCTCCGCAGAGAAGGAAGGAAATCGCCGCACTAACCTTGTCTGACTGTTTTAAAATTAAAAGTCTGGAAGCCTCCCGTGAGTGCAGAGGAATCAATGACATCCACGCCGTACTCACTCTGACTGCGCCGGTACAGGGTCACCCCCAGCGCCAGCACGGCCACCGCCAGCACCGCCGCCGCCAGCCCCGAGTACAGCGCGATGTCCCCGCCGCGCTCCACGTCTGCGGAGAGAGCTGTGTCAGGGACACGGGGGGACATGGGGGACAAGAGCTGTGTCAGGGACACGGGGGGACACGGGGGACATGGGGGGACACAGGGGGACATGGGGGGACACGGGGGGACAACAGCTGTGTCAGGGACACGGGACACGGGGGGACATGGGGGGACAAGAGCTGTGTCAGGGACATGGGACACGGGGGACATGGGGGACACGGGGGGACAAGAGCTGTGTCAGGGACACGGGACATGGGACACGGGGGGACACGGGGGGACATGGGGGGACACGGGACACGGGGGGACACGGGGTGGATGAGAGCTGTGTCAGGGACACGGGACACGGGGGGACATGGGGGGACACGGGGGGACATGGGGGGACACGGGGGGATGAGAGCTGCGTCAGGGACATGGGGACATGGAAAATGGGGGACACAGCAGATGTGGGGGACATGGGGGGACAAGAGCTGTGTCAGGGACATTGGGACACAGGACACGGGGGGACACAGGGGGACGAGATCAGCATCAGGGACATGGGGACACAGGGGGACACGGGGGGACAAGAACTGTGTCAGGAACATAGGGACATGGGATATGGGGGACACAGCAGATGTGGGGGACATGGGGGGACAAGAGCTGTGTCAGGGACACGGCACATGGGGGGACACAGGGGGACAAGAGCTGCATCAGGAACATGGGACACGGGGGGACATGGGGGACAAGAGCTGTGCCAGGGACAGGGGGGATGTGGGGGGACACGGGGGATGTGGGGGGACAAGAGCTGCGTCAGGGACATGGGGGGACATGGGGGGGACAAGAGCTGTGCCAGGGACATGGGACAGGGGGGACAAGGGGGGACAAGAGCTGCATCAGGGACACGGGGGATGCGGGGGGACACAAGGATGTGGGGATGTGGGGACATGGGGGGACAAGAACTATGTCAGGGACATGGGAACCTGGGACACAGGGGATGTGGGGGGACAAGAACTGTGTCAGAGACACGGGACATGGGGGATGTGAGGACATGGGGGGACACGGGGGATGTTGGGGACATGGGGGGACAAGAACTGTGTCAGGGACACAGGGGATGTGGGGGGACATGGGGGGACAAGAACTGTGTCAGGGACACAGGGGGACACAGGGGATGTGGGGTCATGGGGGATGTGGGGGACACAGGGGGACAAGATCAGCATCAGGGACATTGGGACATGGGGAGACACAGAGGATGTGGGGACATCAGGGGATATGAACTGTGTCAGGAACATGGGGACATGGGGGGACATGGAGGGACAAGAACTGCGTCAGGAACATGGGGACATGGGATATGGGGGACACAGCAGATGTGGGGGACATGGGGGGACAAGAACTGCATCAGGGACACGGGGACATGGGGGATGTGGAAGGACATGGGGGACACAGGGGGACAAGAACAGTGCCAGGGCTGCAGGGACATGGGAACACAGGGAGATGTGGGGACATGAGGGGACACGGGCACACCAGGGGACATGGGGGGACATGGCGGGGCAAGAACTGTGTCAGGGACACAGAGGCATGGGGACACAGGGGGACACGGGGGAAGTGGAGGAGGTTTCTGTTGTGCTTTTCTGCTGAAAGTCAGGTAATTTCATTTTAGCTGAGTTCTGAAATTGAGCATGAAAGTTCAGACTGTGGAGATGAGAGGAATGAGCACCTCTGGGCAGCATTTCCGTGGCTCAACACTTCCTTACAAAAAAAGAAGTGGCTGAAAAGTGCCACCAGCCCCAGCTGGATGTCCTGGGAAGGGGCTGGGCACCCACAGCCCCCTCGCAGCAGGAAACACCCCAGGAACGGCAGCACCAGGACCCCCAGTCCCCAAACCCTGCTCCAGGTGCTGGGAGCAAGGCTGGGGCTGAATTTCAGCTGGGCACTCCAATCAAAAGTAAAATCAAAGGTTTGGTTCAAACATCCTTACCAGAAATCATCCCTCTCATCCCCAGTCTCCGGTCAGCCCCAACCACGAGCTTCCAGCATCCCACTCGACCCCAGCAAAGTGCTTGGATATCAGATTTACCAGAACCACTTAACCAAGAAAATACTCCTGCAAAATTTCTGCTGCATTTTCAAGTAATCTGCAAATGACAAACGGTTCTGCTTTTAACACATGCACAGCTTGCTGGGAAGGAAAAAGAAAAATCACCAGGTTTGCATGGAAACGTCAGCTTTGAGGAGGAATCCACCTTCTGTGGCAGACCAGGAAACCACACTGAAAAAACTTGTAAGGTTACAAAATTCAACTTCCTAGAACAATTCCACTGCCACACTGTTTGAACAAATCAGTCACTAAAAGAGAAGCTTTTTTTTTTTCCTGAAGCCTTTTTTTTTCCATTTTTTTGCCATGAGATCCCCCCCTTAAAAAATGCTGTAAAGAGAATTTTATGCTCAATTAGGGGTTGCAGAGAGTGAGATACTGGCTGACAATGTAATGGTGGGAAAGGCCAGACAGAAAAAGCAAATGCAAAGCCCCAGGGCCACAAAGGCAAACTGGAAACGTCTCAGATTGGACCAAACCACACAAAGCCCAGTCCAAAGCCCCAGTCCCACAGCTCGGTTTTGTTCCCCAGCACCAGGTGCAGAATGGGAAGTACAGGCAATAATTACATTTCTATTTCTTCCAATTTCCTATTCCCAAGTTGGTTTGTTGTTACAGGGAATTAATTACGAAATGCTATTGTTGAGTTAATTTCTGTGGGTAATTAGAGCAATGAGTGAGGCGGGAGGAGGGAGGGGATGGATCTCCAGAAACCCGGGAACAGTTGGGCTCTTTCCCTTCCCAGGGAGCCATGGAGAGCTCGTGAGTTTTGCAGCAAAAAGCATCTCTAGCTCTTCCCCTTGGATCACTGCTTTAAAAAAGGAAAGTGCTGAAAATGTGAATTACCCCTCCTGCCTTGCCGGGATGATAAATGATCGAGCCTGAGAGATGCAGAAATATCCTGGCAGGAAAAGCTTCCAGCCCCAGGACAGGATCTCCTGCTCCACAAAGCAGAGTGTGAGGCACTCCTCAGGTGCTCACTGGAACTGCCATTTCTGGCTCTAAATCTCCTCAAGTGCTTCAGCATCTCCTTTTCCATCGATTCCCGTGTCAGGCAATTCTGCTTTCCCACCTTTAAACGGTTGTACGTGGCTTGGAGATGAGAGGGAGGGCACGAAATGAAAAAAAAAAAAAATGGGAGCAGTTTGACTCCAGCAAAATCTTTCTGAGGAGAAGAATTTTCTTTTCATTGACTCTGAAGTATCTCCAGAGCCCGAATTGGACACTGGTCTATAAATGTGATGATTAAAATATCTCACAGGAATTCCCACTGAGGTTCCTTCCCTGGAATGAGTTGGTCTTTGCTCTGTTCCATGAAGAACCTGAAGAAGTCGCCCAGACTGCCAGAAAAACCCTCCATAAACCTCAGGGGAACGCCGAGCTCAGAGGCAAAGGATCCTTCTCAGGATTTGGTGGGGTTTTAAACAGCTTTATGCTAAAAGGGCAAACCCTGAGTGACTCAGTATTCCTTGAATTATTCCACGGAACACAACTCCATGAGGAAGGAGCCTTTCTTTTTAGCTTGGGATTTTGGTGTTTCTTTAGAAACAGCCACTGGGTTTTTTTTTAAAGTAATTTTTACCTCTTCACCTTCTGATCTTTTCCTTTGGAGAATTCCTTCCATGGGAGATTAGAAATTAAGGGATGGAGGAAGGCGTGGGAGATCTGGGGGAGCAGAGTGAGGTTCTGCTTTTATTTTTTCCCAGAAAGGAACAAAGTGGAAACCAACCAAACAAACTAGAAAAGCAAACATTTATAGTCCACCAATTACTCCTTAATGAGGTGCATCCTCCCAGCCCCAGGGCGGGAGGGACTCTGGCAGGCACCACCAGTTTTATCCCTTTCTGCTCCAGGATCCCTGTTTGTGGTAATTGCAGCCCATTTTTCACTCCACCTCCTGCCACTGTTACACAACATTTATTGAAAGCACATTTGATGGTAATGAAGTTTCTATTAACTATGATTAAGTTTCATAAAGCACCTGAAGATAATTTAAGATGTGCAGGAGCAGAAAATGAAACATTTGGCTTAGTGCATTAGGAGATGTAATTGATTAAATTATCTCATTTACAGGGAGCGCTTTGCAGGAGCTGTGCAGGGCCCACCTCCCCAGCTCCAGCAGCGAGAGGAGGTCTGGGACTTGGGCAGGAGATCCCTGAGTTCTTCCCAGTGATGGGTCCTTCCCCATCCCTCCCACAGCCCAAAGTCCTTCTCCTCACTCTTGGAGCACAAGGACCACGAGCCAGGGGCTCGGGGAGGAGATCCTTCAGTGGGACAGGCTGTCCCCCAGTGATCTTCATTGCTGGCTTTGATTTGCATCCCTGATGAATCGGGAAGTCCTGGAGCAGCTCCTGCTCTGTCAGCTCCGTCAGCTCCATGAGCTCCATGAGCTCTGTCAGCTCCGTGAGCTCCGTGAGCTCCGTCAGCTCCGTGAGCTCCGTGAGCTCCGTCAGCTCTGTCAGCTCCATGAGCTCCATGAGCTCTGTCAGCTCCGTGAGCTCCATCAGGTCCGTCAGCTCCGTGAGCTCAATGAGCTCCATGAGCTCTGTCAGCTCCGTGAGCTCCATCAGCTCCGTCAGCTCCGTGAACTCAATGAGCTCCATGAGCTCTGTCAGCTCCGTCAGCTCCGTGAGCTCAATGAGGTCCATGAGCTCTGTCAGCTCCGTGAGCTCCGTGAGCTCCGTGAGCTCCGTGAGCTCCATGAGCTCTGTCAGCTCCATGAGCTCTGTCAGCTCCGTGAGCTCCGTGAGCTCCGTGAGCTCCGTGAGCTCCATGAGCTCTGTCAGCTCCATGAGCTCTGTCAGCTCCGTGAGCTCCGTGAGCTCCGTGAGCTCCGTCAGCTCCATGAGCTCCATCAGCTCCGTGAGCTCCGTCAGCTCCATGAGCTCTGTCAGCTCCGTGTGCTCCATGAGCTCTGTCAGCTCCGTGAGCTCCGTGAGCTCCGTGAGCTCAATGAGCTCCGTGAGCTCCGTCAGATCCATGAGCTCCATCAGCTCCGTGAGCTCCGTGAGCTCCATCAGCTCCATGAGCTCTGTGTCCCTGCCCCAGGTGGAACCCAGCCCTTTCCATCTCCCGGCCTCTCCAAGCCCAAATCATCCCTGCTGCAGCTCGTTCTTGGGGAAATCCCAGAATCTTGGCTTGGCTGAAATTCTCTCCATGTTCTCTGCGGAATGGAAGCGCACAGACAGAACAGTGAACCCACTGTCAGAGCCCAGCCTGGCCCAGAGCAGGGACCCATCAGGGCTGATTCTGGGGGCACCCAGACACACCCAAAGGTTCAGGGAACCTCAGCCCCTTTTGCAGCTCCCTACACTGATTTTTGGGCAGCCTGAGAAAAAAACTAAGAACCAGGAATGTAAAATCACAGAATCACCAAGGTTGGAAAAGCCCTCAGAGACCACCAAGCACCAGCGTGGTCACCACCTCCAGGGGTGGGCACCTCCTGGGCCGCCCCTGGCACAGCTCTACAGCCCTTTCCAGGGGGAAATTCCTGATATCCAACCCTGCCAATGCTCTACAGCCCTTTCCATGAGGAAATTCCTGCTGATGTCCCACCCTGGCACAGGTCAAGGCCCTTTCCATGAGGAAATTCCTGATTTCCAACCCTGGCACAGCTCTACAGCCCTTTCCAGGGGAAAATTCCTGCTGTCTCACCCTGGCACAGCCCAAGGCTGTTCCCTCTTCCCCTGTCCCCTGTCCCCCTGATCTCCTGCCCTGTTGGGGTTGGCAGAGCTGTGGGCACAGGACAGAAGCCCCAGAGCAGCCCTGAGACAATCCCAGGCACAGAAAAACCCTCCAGGTGAGACAGGAGGGAGCTGAGCAGGGCCAGGGGCAGCAGCAGAGCCCGGTTTGCACCAGGAACCCCAAAGTCTTGCATAAATTCCTTTTTTTCCTGATTCCAAGCGCTCCAGAGCATGGCTCCCTGTCAGATGCAAATTGCTGAGGATGAGCACTCCCCTGGCTCGCTGAACCTGGGATCACAGAGATGCTTTCAGCAGATGCTAAAGCCTCTCATAAAACCTTGGCTCCTACTTAGCTCCTAAACAAATAACCCAAACGGCAGAGAAGATGAGGAAAATCATATTTACAAGAGAAAAAAAAGAACTTACTTTGGGATTTTATTTCATGAAGAGGTTTTTTATCTGAGAAGGAGGGAGAGAGAGCGAGAAAGTTGCACTTAATAAATTTACATGGAGCATATCTATCTCCTATATTGCTTCTGTCTCACTCTATAAATGAAACATTTTCTCCTCGTTTGCTGACAATATGAATATTTTATGTTGTCCATGTTTTTCTCTTCATCTTATTTTTTTTTTTTTCCCTAAATCCCTATCAGGAAGTTCCTTTGCAGCAATTTCTCACTTGGTTAATTCAGGTTATTTGTTGGCTCTATTGGATGCTGTTGTTTATTTACACCTCAGCAAGAAGGAAGTTCAATACCTTGCAGTGGATCACTGGCAAAGAGACTCAGGTCAGAATTAATGATTCCTTTGTGTGTTTGATGTATGGAAAGGCTGGTGATGGGCACTTAAATTAGTTACAAGATATAAAAATGCCCAGTTTATTCACATTTTTGTACTAAACGCCCCAAATAACAGCACCTCTCTGTGTGTATTTGAACACACACATCCATGTGCCCCCAACAGATGGAAATATGGGACCAAAGGGGTTTTCTATGGGACTGCAGCTCTTAAAGATGAGCCTTCTCTGCCTCCATCATGCCAAGCACTTGAGCCACCATTTATAACCTAAAACCTGCCAAAGCAATCCCTAAAACTGGGAGACTCAGGCGGATTATGGCCAATCCTTCTCTTCATTTCCATGTTTGTGAGGATGATCAGTTTAGAAATACTTAGCCCAGAAGATCGCTGGATTTTCGGCTCCTCACCAAAAACCTGGTGGGAGGAGGTTTTTATTTCCCTGCCCAAAGCTGGTTTTGGTTTTGCAGGAAAATGAGGCCCAAAAACACCCAGAGAGGAGGGTCAGACTGGAGCCTGCAGTGGAGCAAACTCTTCCCTGCTGCTGGACGGGGCTGTCTGCACCAAACTGCAAAGGGAAAAGCATTTCCCATGAAAATGGAGATTCCTGGACCCAGGAGCCTCCTGGCAACAGGAGCAGCTCTGCTTGGAAAATGGAAAACAAAATGATTTGTGATTGTGCTGTGATTATCCAGGGTGCATTAGTAAAAACATGTTTGCAGGTCAGTCCTTGTGGCCCTACTTGTTTGTTTTGGTTTTGGGCACTGGGAGAAGAAATCAATAGGTTTTGAAGTCAGGAGAAATAACTTTAAAGCAAATAGATAAAAGTAAAAGAAAGAGCTCTCAAAAAAAAAAAAAAATACCCTCTCTTTTATTAAGCAAAGAGAAAGCTTTCACCTCTGCAGGAAAGAGAAAGAAATCCACCCTGGCCAAGCATCCAGCTGGGAATACGGGGAGGGAATGAACACTGGGAGAACAAACATGCAGCACAGCAGTGAGGTACTGGGACTGGCTGGGGCCAAAGCCACCTTTGCATCCCAGGGAACCCATCTGGCAGCCCTGGAAACCTTTCATCCCTGTCACACCCCACGTGAATCTTCCTCCTGGAAGATCCTCCATCTAAGTCTGGATCTACACAGGAGTTGCAAGTTCCAGGAGAAATTCCTTGAAGGAAAATTTCTTCCAGCTGCTCCTCAGTGAGGGCTGGCCCACCGGGATCCACCCAAGGCTAAAGGGAGTGCTGGGATGTTCCCAGGTGATGCCTTGGGGTTCTTCCCAAACTCTCCAGTCAGAGACTGAATAAAGAACCCCAGAATTGATCCATTTTATCCCTGTTCCATTTTCTGCCTCCCGATCTGAACACTCATCCCAAGGATCGGGATTTTCCCAGCCAGCTCCAGGCTGGCTCTTCCCTGGCACCCTCCATTCCCACCCTCCCCTTCAGCTCAGTCCTGATTTGTTAACCAAAGGAATGTTGCTATTTCTGCCTCACAGAAGGAGCAAAGTTAACGAGTTGTGCCTGATAAAAAGCCTCCAAGAGATTGGTTTGCTGTGGCTCAGGGCTGCATTTCCTCCACATTTCCCCACGGGATGAGAAGAGGAGCAGGAAAGGCACACACTGGAAGATGAACAGGGGAGAAGAGATCTTTTTAAAAAATAGGCTAATTGCATCAATTCCTGTTAGCTGAGAAAGCAATTACAGCCCTGAAAACAACGAGGACACAGGGACAGCTGGAGCCATGAAGGAGGGACAGGATCCACCTGGAGGTGGAAGGAGCAGGAGCCACGGAGTGCCCCAGTCCAGGGAAATGCAGCTCTTGGAGCACAGCCTGGGGGTGCTGGACGGGGCCTGGAGCCACCTGGGACAGGGGAAGGTGTCCATGGAAGGTGTCTCCATGGAGGAGAGTGGGACTGCAGGGCTTTAAGGCCCCTTCCCACCCAAACCATTCCAGGAAAAGCAGGGAATGAGTTTGTGCCAACCCCAAAGGCCTGGCAGGGCAGAGCTGAGCCAGCTCCCTCAGTGCCAGAGGCTCCTGGCACCATCCTGGCTCTGTCCCTGTGCCCCCAGGCATGGGTGGCATGTGGCACTGCCCCCTGGGCTGACAGCAGGGAATGTGGGGCAGGACAGGAGCATTTCCCACTGGCAGTGTTCCTGCAGGCAGTGACCTGAGTGGGGCCACCTTGAACAGACCCTGGGGACACCACAGACGGAGCCAGGGGGATGGCAGGTCCCCTCTGCTGTCACAGTCCCACCATGCAGCCTCAGCTGCTGCTCCTCACGCCTTTCCCACACGTCCTCCTGCCAGCTCCCCACGCAGGAACACCAGGATGGATTTGGGATTGAGCCAACCGTCGCAGGGACAGGAATTCACTGATGGACAGGGTGGAGAGAGACCCCAGGAAACCATGCAGGATCAGCACAGTCCCTGAGAGCTGAGTAATGGCACTGCTCCCAAACCCTCTCTGGGTATTCTTTCTCAAAGCACAGGGAAGGAAAAAAAAATGAAATTACATTTCTGTCCTTGGACACCTTGGAGCTGTTCTGTAGGCAGAGTGCTGAGTGTTCCCTCCCACCAAACCCCAGCAAAATCTGATTGAAGGTCTCAGCTCAGGTATCTCTGAAGCCTGAATAAATACACAGGATTCTCTCTGCCACTGGGAAAGGATTGAAATCTCAGGGCAAAAAAAGAGAGTTTGTTTTGTTTAGAAGAGAAAAGATGATGCAGAACCATAGAAACAAGGACGGAGGGCTGGTTGAATACAACATCCCAGAAAACAGACACATCCTTGTTTATATCTCCCAGCCCTGGCACTCCTGACGACTCCCAGGGCTGCTGTTCCACCTGAGGAGGTGACAGCCCCTCCACAGGGACAGGAGCGGGCTCAGGGCAGGGAGAAACTCACAAATTCCTGCCGTGTGCGGAGCCTGCGCAGCTGCAGGGCTGCTCTCCCCAGCTCCCCGTGCTGGGGACAGCAGCAGTTTCCCAGTGCCAGACGCTTCCCAGACACTGGTGAAGGGCAAAGCCTTTCCCAGGGAGCTGCAGCTCTGCCTGGGTTTAACTCCTGCTAAAGGCAGCAAAAAGAGAAAACTCCGACCTTGACCGGCTCCAGCACCCGCAGCTCTCCTGGGGCGCTTTGGCCGTTTGCTCGCCAGGAAGGGCTGAGGAGCACATTTGGCTGGAGGAGCACACGGAGGGTGGAGTTCCACCCTGCAAACCCCCTGGATTTGGGATTTCAGCATCACCTGATCATTCACAGGCAGACAACGCACAACACAAATCCAGAGACCCGTAAAATTTCAAACTCTGCACAACAAACCAGAAAACCACCTCCCTTTTCAGGAGAATGAATCAGCCACAAGAGCCCCATGCACGCAGGCTCCCTGGCCTCCAGCCCAGCTCTCCGGCACAGCCCAGAAGCCGCGGTCAGCCCGTGGCAGCTCACCTTGGATGCAGAGCCCCTCAGTGCAGTTCTCGGACTCCTGGCTCAGGCCCTCGCAGTGTTTGCCGCCGTTGCGGGGCGCGGGCGCTGCGCACTCCCGCACGCGCAGGTGCTCGCACTCGGGGCTGCACACTGACCACTCGCTCCACACCTCCCAGCTGCCGTCCACTGCGGGGCCAGGAACACAGTCAGCTCGGCCTGCCCGCCCAGGGAGCTCCTGCAGCAGCACTTCTTTCACCCCTCTCCCCTTAACTTCACATCTAATACACTTCTGGGCAAACTTCCACATGATAAACATTTAGCGGTAAACTTTTATCGAAGTTCTCAGCTCAGGGTTCTGTGTGTCTCTTTCTGGTGTTGTTAACATCAGCTCTGCTCTCTGTGCTAACCCCAGACCCCCACCAGGTCCCTAATTTCTCCCCCCGGGGCCTGAACTGTCCTGGCAGGGTTTTGGTGGTGCCAGGGGAAACAAAGTCAGCTCTGCCTGCCCGCCCAGGGAGCTCCTGCAGCAGCGCTTCTTTTGTCTCTCTCCCCCTAACTCCACATCTAATACACTTCTGAGCAAACTGCTGCATGATAAACAATGCTGTTAGCAAAGTTCTCAGCTCAGGGTTCGGTGTTGCTCTTTCTGGTGTTGTTAACATCAGCTCTCCTCTCTGTGCTAACCCCAGACCCCCACCAGGTCCTTGATTTCTCCCCCCGAGCCCTGAGCTGTTCTGGCAGGGTTTTGGCAGTGCCAGGGTAAGTTCCAGCCTGCCCACAGGTGCCTGGCACTGCTCCCACACCCTCAGCAGGCTCAGCCTAAGCACAGCTGCATTTCCCGTTCCCTTCCCAACTCCCCGCTGCTGCTTCCCACAAAAAGCTCTCCCTGGCCAGGGACTCACCGGGGCAGAGGGAGGTGCAGGTGATTTTCTGCACGGACATGCCCTCGCAGAAGGCTCCCCCGTTGAGGGGCGCGGGGTTGGTGCAGGTGCGCGAGCGTTTCTGCCAGCCCCGCCCGCAGCGCGCGTTGCAGCTGGACCACTCCGTCCACGAGGACCAGCCCCCGTTCACTGCAAAACACCGACGTGGGGGAGCTGAGGGGCTGTGGGGCTGGACCAGAGCCCCCCAGCACCAAACCCAAACCCACCCCAGCAGGGAGGGCTTGGCTGGGTGATCCCGAGCGTGGCGGGCTTGCGTCAATGCAGCAAGAGCAGCACAAATCCAAGCAGGGCACGGCAGGAACAGCCACCTCTGCCCCCAGCCCTGGCACTGACCATAGACCACCACGGTGGCTGACAGGCTCCTCCTCTTGGCTACGATGTTGGCAGCCATGCAGGTGTAGTTCCCCGAGTCGGACAGGCGCGCCTGGCGGATGATGAGGTTGTGGTCGGCCCTGGTGTCGATGTTCTCGTCCAGGTTGGAATCGATGGGCTCCTCGTTCTTCAGCCACTCCACCTGGCAGGGAGGAGCACAGGAAAACGTCGAGTGGGCCAAAGGCACCTCATGACCTTGTTAATTGGATGGGGAAATGCTTCCTTTGGCTGGTAACTTAGAAAAGCTGATTTTTCCACAGGGAACATGGAATAAAATCTCAGCTGAGCAAGAATAAGAAATTCTCCCAACAATATTTTTACACATTGCTCCTGCTGCACCACGCATTGGATGTTCAAACGCTTGGACAACTACCAGTTCTATAAAACAGATAATAAGTATTATCAATTCCACTTTTTTTGTGAAGAAACAGGAAGCTGAAATTGCCTGACACGGCACACGGAGGAAGAGCGGAGTCATCATAACAGATTCCCAGGTGACACAAACACCCTGAGAACAGAGGCCATTAGTGTTTGCTGCCATGGTCCATAAAGCCCCTGAAATGCTGTGCGCGATGTGTTCCAATCCATCTTCTCCAGTTCACCACCCAACGTCTCTGAGCACGCCCAGGAATCGCCCGCAAGGTGCCGTTCCACTCGAAACATTAACAGAAAATAGTTAAGGCATGGCAAGCTGCTGTCACAGGAGAGCAAAATTAAAAATAGAAATAAAATCAACGGATTCTATTAAAAGACCAAAGAGCAAGGGGTTGTTTTAACAGCTTTTCTAGATCTGGAGGAGCTCTGGCTGTGCCCTGCAGTCAAACTCCCTTCTCCACTCCGTTCAGATGAATAACCTTGTTTAGCAACTTGTGGAAGGACTTGGAACTTTGTGGTAATGAGCTTATGGCTGTGGTAGCTGCAGGCATTCATTAGCACTCAGCTCTGCGCAGATGGGCTGCAATTTGTACATTTTCCAGTTCCTAAACAAATCTGCAAACGCTGACCATCAAAGCCAATTACGCTTGGTGCCAGGCAGCAGATTCCCTTCTGCAGCAGCACTCCCGGCTTTGCTGGGACAGACCCAGCCCAGCACATCCCGGCCAAGGGCTGCAGACTCACCTGGAAAAGGCTCCAGGTCTGGGGCACCTCATCCCACATGGTGGCTATGGAATTAAACCATGATTTGACACAATTGCGCAAATGTGAGTTACCTGAGGGCGAGGTTCAGCACCACAGGTTTCACACTGAAAATGGGGGAAAGATTCGAGCTCTGTGATCCCTTTGCCATCTCTCTGTCTCCTGTATCCAGCCCTCCCTCCCAGCCACCGTGCCTGCAGGAGCCTGGGCACAGCTCAGGAGCAGGGAGCAAACAGCCGTGCTAAATCCAGCCACGCCAGACCTCCCCCTGGACAAAATCCCTGGGAGTGTGTTCCAGCCATGCCAAACCTTTTCCAGCCATGCCAAACCTCCCCCTGGACAAAATCCCTGGGAGTGTGTTCCAGCCATGCCAAATCTTTTCCAGCCACGCCAGACCTCTCCCTGGACAAAATCCCTGGGAGTTGTATCCATGCCAAACCTTTCCTTGGGCAGTATCCCTGGGAGTGTGTTCCAGCCATGCCAAACCTTTCCCTGGACAATATCCCTGGGAGTGTGTTCCAGCCATGCCAAAACTTTTCCAGCCATGCCAGACCTTTCCCTGGACAATATCCAGCCATGCCAAACCTTTTCCAGCCATGCCAAACCCTTCCCTGGACAATATCCCCTGGATTTTATTCCCTTTTCCTGTGGTCTAACACAACCAACCCCCTAGAACAACCAGCTAATCCACTCACTATTCAGTTCCCCTTCTGCAGTTAACCTTAACAGTAATTATCCGAGGGGGTTTCAGCAAAGAAATTAGGAATTCAATTTAAATTATGGAGCCGCCGCAGGGGCATAAATCAAGTGACAGGAGCTCGATGGTGAACACACTTTATGTGCAGTGAAATGGGCAGAGAAATGACAAACACGGCCAGCGTTCCCTGAGTTCATTATTTCACAAGTGTGTTTATAAATGTTGACTCTCCTCAGGCCAGGGGATTTCTGGGGTGGTGGGAGGGGCTCAAGGGCCCCGTTCCTGTCAGCCTCACCCTTGGAGGGAGCACACACTGATCCTGTGTGTGCTGAGTCTGGGAATGTGGGGTTTGATGAGCAGAAAACATTAAAACATTTACATTAAAGCAGAGCGTTTCAAAGAATGATGATCCCAGCGAAGGGAGAACATTAAGCAGACGGAACATAAACACCAAAGTGTTGAGACGTGAGATCAAACCCTGATTTGTCAGGGAGGATGGCACTGCCAGTGTTCCCCTCATTCCAGCCCCCCTTCCCTGAGAAAACCAGGTTTATCCAAGGGCATCCCCTGCTCTGCCTCAGCAGATGGAGGCTTTCAAAGATGGAGAACCAAGGGATGGATTTATGGGATAAAAATACATTTAAAGGAGTCGTGATGACAAAAGATGTTTGTCACTGGCGGGGATGTAACCTTTGGGAAACTTCAGCCCCCGCACAAACACTCACAAAGCAACCAGGGAAAATAAAAGCAGCCAAGCACCCAAAACATCTCCCCACTGGGATGAGTGATGGGGTCTGGACTGCAGTGTCTGGAGGGCAAACTCCAAACTCCTCAGAGTTTCACTTCCCTCACTGTGGAGTCACACAGTTGCTTGTACCAGAATTTTAAGTTAGTCTGATGGTCTGGCACCAGACTTTAAACCTGCTATAAAGTGCTGCAGGTTTGTAGAAAAAGATCTGAAATTCAATCTGCTCAGAATTAACCCCCCCTCCCCAGTTTCCAAGGAGGGCTGATCACATCAGGCCCTGCAGCTCCAGGGCACGCAGGGATTATCTGGGCCCCTCCCTGGGTGGCAGCAGCACAATTAGCATCATCATACATTTGTCCCAGTTACAGAAAGCAATTATCACAGACCAGCTTATGGCATTATCAGAGTAAAATCAGCTCAACACCCCAGAGCCTGGGCAGATTATGGGAGTTAGAGAACTCTTCTGCCTGAAAAACAAAGCTTATCCCAACTCATCCACTAAGAGCTCCCCACCAGTCACTCTGATGGAAATTCTAACATCCCAAGACCTGGGATTGAATTTTTGGCTCTTTTTGGTGACCTTGTTTGAGATTCCAACCAGATTTAACACCCGAGGCAGCTCCCAGCTCTTGTGGGCATGGTGATAATTTGGGAGGTCAGCAGACAAAGGGATTCCTGTCCCTGCTTTGGGATTGTCCTCTTCTGTCAGAACTCAAAATGTCCCTCAGACATTTTTGGAGGTTCCAGGCCCAGGTCAGAAGCATTTGAGACCCTGGCAGGCAGCTGGAAACAGCTGTGATTTTGGGTTTGAGCCATAGAATGATTTACCAACCTTGCAGGAAGAACAAGAAGTCACAGAATTTAGATATTATAGTAGAAGTAGTCACAAAGTAGAGGGAAGAATTTCTGAGTGCTGTACAGGGGGGTTTTAACACCTGTACAGAGGGGTTTTGGTTTTGTACATGGGGGTCAGGAGTTTTAAGATGGAGGGATTTGGGCCTGTCCTGTCCTCCCTTAACACAAACCCAAGGGCTGCACACACTCCTCTCTGCCTTTATTATTGTGATTTTTATCAACACCATCACAAGCCATTAATCCTGTGCCAGAACCTCTCACAACACCCGGAGCAGGTCAGCTGTACCTGCTGCATTCTTTTTAAATTAATCCACTGAGGGAACTCTGTTCCTGAATCATTTCATCGCAGCACTGTCACACCAGGCTGGCAAGCATATTTTCCCTTCATTAGATTGAATATATAATCTCATTTCAGGACTCTGACATGCTGACTAAGCCACAAATCAGCTGGAGGAGGCTCTGCTCTGAGGGGATGCACTCGGTGATGGCCAGAGGGATCAGCTGAGGCCTCCAGTGCTGCTCCTGCCCATTTCTGTGTGGTCATTCCCACTGCAGGGCAGGGAGGGGAATGCTGGATTTGTCTTTCCGAACAAGCTGTGGGTCTGCTGCTAGATAAAACCAGCACTGAGAGATAAAAGAAACAATGGGAGGATTCCACTGATTGGTGAATGGAAAAAGATATTTGCTTTTACAAATAAGCTTTAGGTTTGCTGATAAATGAAATTAAGACGTTGAAAGATGAAAGAAACAATGGGAAAAACCCCTAAATTCCATAACTAAAAATTAAATGGGAGGGTTATAGATTAGAGGGAAATCTCTGGTATCAGGTGTTTTGGGAAGTCTGAACCTCTCAAATACCTCAGCCAGTGGGGAAAGAGAGAAGGGAAACAGGGATAAAAAGGAGGCTGTATCCTCCAAAAATGGGAGAGACCCCAGGGGGATGGCCCATGGCCTCTCCCTTTATTCAAATAAAGTAAAAGGGCTCCTCTGTCTCCTTTTTTGACATAAACCTCTGATGTTTGTGGATTAATTTTCCTGACAGCAGGCAGGGAGGGTTTGCTGCACAAACCTCCACCAGGAAGGGGAGAAATCCTCATTTGTGGCCACAGCTCCTGCTCTGAGCTCTGCTCCCCCTGAAATGCCAACCAAAGACCTAGAGGAGGGAAAGCACCAGCATGGGAGGGGGTGAGTCAAAACACAATTCAAATACAGTTTGGGGTGAGGATAAAGGGAGAGCTGGCAGCCTGGACGTGTGCATCAATTTATAGTGGCAGAGGTGGGCAAGCAGCTGACTCAACCAGGCTATTTTGGATCCCTAGGAAAAGGAGCCACTGCTAAAAATGCCACTGCTAATGGTACCTTGTCTGCTTGGTGAAGACACCATCGGATCCCAAATAAGTTTTTCTTTATTCCTATTTTTGGAGTGTCTGCCATTAACTGGAGCACTGGTTTTTATTGCCATGCACAAATGAAGAGCAAATCAGCATTAATAACCCCAAAAGTCATTAGAGATGGGAGATTCCCAGTGGGACAGAGCACACGTGTGGCCTGACTCCAGGTCTGGATGGTGAGCAGAGGTGAACGATCCTGCTGCAGCTCAAATCCCTGTCTCCACATGTGGGAATCCAGCGCTTCCCTCTGGCTGCCCTGGCAGGTCTGGGACCCTGGCAGGGGTCAGGAACCCCCCTGGACAGAGCCCCCAGAG